CGGACACATTTTCAGTGTTACGAAACCAATGATATTTCCTTTTACCCGACCATTGTTCCAATGAATTATTCTCTCTAATATCAGAACACGTCCTCGGACATTTTTCAGGTTGGCACGCACTGGATCTTCTCCTCTTTTCACCGACTATTGTTTCCCAGTAATTATTTTCTAATAACTACTAGAAGCAATCAACACTCGTTTAGGCATAGGACACCCACTGATCTTTCCTTAATGCACGCAATGTTCCCAATTAATTCATTGTCTAATAATACTCAGAAGCAATCACAGACCTCGTTTCAGTTTAGGACACCACTGATCTTTCCTTTTCACTTTTTCACCGACCATATGTTCCCAATTAATTCATTGTCTAATAATACTCAGAAGCAAGCACAGACCTCATTTCAGTTTAGACAGTTCCTGTTTGACAGACCACGTTCCCAGTTAATTAAATTTCTAATTACTCACGATCGATTACGGATCTCTTCGCCACGACTGATCTCACCTCCGCCGCGTTTACTTCCGCCTCCACGACCTCTAGACTCGAGAGGCGTTGCTTCAGCGAGGCCTGGTGCGAGCGCAGCCTGTTCTTCAGCCACTGCTGCCGCCGGAGATCTCTCTTCTTGCTGATGAGCTCTAGCTCCGCCGCCTGCACGGCCTCCGCCAGCTTGTCCGGGTCGATGCTGGCGGCATCGGCGTCGTCGCTGCAGCTGATCAACGCATCCAACTGATCGTTATCTAGTCCGCCTGGAACGATGGGTGCATCATCAAGATGCATTGAAGAAATACGCACGGACGAATGGACAGACGGACGGACGCACGCACTCACACATATATACATATACATATACATATATACGCAAAATTCATCAGATCTCTATGGATCGATGCGTTCTCTCCCTTGCATACTTTTTTTTGATCGGGGAATACATTACGTTCACATTTACTTTTCGGATTAATCTTAAAACACTGCATAGCTTGTATTTCCGATCAAAGAATAATATAAAAATTAGTGCAAGCGCGATATGAAGCGCCATTACACACACACACACATGCAGATACAGACACACACACACACATGCAGATACAGACACACACACACACACACCACACAGATACACACAAACACACATACAGATACAGACACACACGCACGCACGCACGCACGCACGCACGCACGCACGCACGCACGTGCACACGCAGATACACATAGATAACTCAAGCATGGCAACGCGTTACTTGCGACCAGGGCGATACCTTATACATCTAATATATCTAATCTATATACAAAGATAAGGAATATGCACCGACTATTCCCCCCCACCCCCTCATGCAAACACTTGCGCATTCCCGTTTATGAATACCCGTCATTCTGTCGTATATACCGATGCCCTATATATCTTACAAAGGGAAGGAATCAAGCACCGACTCGAGTATTCCCTCCCACCCCTCTCATGCAAACACTTGCGAATTCTATTCCTATTATTCCGTATTGCGTGAATACCCGTTATTCCGTTATCAAGCTGCGTCTCCATGAACCGAAGCATCGTGTGTGTGGCGGTCTCCTGCTCGTCGTAAACACCACCCATCGGCAGCTGCGTCAGGAACCCTGAATCGCCGCGCGGAACAGAGAGTGCTTAACGACGACGCAAAAATCTAAAATTTACAGACTTCCAATTGAAAAATCGACGCACATGTTAATTAATTCGTGCTCTCGTTATGATATCACATCTATATGCAGGGTTCCTCATACGTAAGAGGCACAGTGGGGCACCGCCGTTGTCAAATTTAACATCGCCGTTGTGAAAATGTTCCCGTATTTACTGATAAGTATATCCTGTATCTATATACCTATGAGTATATCAATACATCATGTGTTTTAATCCATCATTCGCGTTTTTTCCCCAAACTGGCCATTACCTCCTTTGTCTAATTTTCCCTCAGAAGAAACCCTGACATGTTGCGTTGCGTTGAATTGATAAGCGCGCTAGCTGTCGCATGCTTACGTGGGTGAGCACAGCTGCTAGTGTCGAGTTCAGTCTTCATGGCAGCTGCTTCCACAAAAGACGCCTCCACGGTGTCAAGCACGTCGCGAAGCTGAATGCTCTCTTGTTGCCAATTCTCTTGCATCAGCTTCTGTAGAATCATGCATGTGTTCGTGAGATGCATGTGTGTGCACGAGTGATTATGTCAAGTCTTTACTGCTTGACAGTCTATTTCCCCTACTGATCCCTTAATTCTATTAGCAACTTTTTTTAATTAGTAGAACTTATTTGACCTAGTTATTCCATTTAATTTCTTTCAATTAGTTTTTAAAAAAGCACTGATCTAAGCCCTGTATTGTTTGATAGATGCTTTTCAAATTAATAATTATCTCTTAATTATTCATAATTAATCACATAATCCGTGTTCGTTAAGACACCACTAATCTCCTCTCCTCACTGTATCATAGACCACGCTCACAATTAATTAATTCTCTCATAATACTCAGAAACGATCGCGGACACATTTTCAGGCTAGGACACCACTGATCTTCCCTTTTCACCGACCATGTTCCCAATGTTAGGACACCACTGATCTTCCCTTTTCACCGACCATGTTCCCAATGAATTAATTCTCTCATAATACTCAGAAACGATCGCGGACACATTTTCAGGTTAGGACACCACTGATCTTCCCTCCTCACTTTTTCACCGACCATATGTTCCCAGTAAATTAATTCTCTAATAATACTCAGAAGCAATCACAGACCTCGTTTCAGGCTAGGACACCACTGATCTTTCCTTTTCACCGACCATGTTCCCAATTAATTCATTGTCTAATAATACTCAGAAGCAATCACAGACCTCGTTTCAGTTTAGGACACCACTGATCTTTCCTTTTCACTTTTT